TTAACGAAAAAAGCTCGGTTGGAACCCACCGGTCCCACAAAAAATGTAGATTCTCGGCATTGTAGCAAGCTAACATCGTATCTTAGGCGTTATCGCGTAGTGAGTTGCTCGTTTCGGCTCCAAATCGAGGTATTCCGACTTATTTTTTGTTAAAACTCATGTATAAAAAATACCTATTAGTTATTTTTTACTGTGTTCTATGTTATTCCGTGATTGTTTTGTGATTTAATTAATTTGTTATTTTTCATCCGGATTATATTATTAGTGTGCTAAAAAAATTAGTAAAATAGAGAAATTGTTATTTTATGAATAATTAATGTTTTTAGTTGTTATAAAAAATGGTAATTGGTTATTTTCTACTATGGTATATGTATTTTCGTGATTGTTTTGTGATTAAATTAATTTGTTATTTTTTATCCGGATTAGATTAATTATGTGCTAAAAGATTAGTAAAATAGATAAATTATTACTTTAGGAATAATTAATCTTATTTAGATGTTATTGTTGTACATATATAATATGTGATTTTAATATTGTTTAGTTCCCTGTAGTATTATGTTGTGCCCGTAATTTTAATGTAGTGTCCGTAATTGTAATGTAGTGCCCTTTAGTGTAGTAAAATGTAGTGCCCTTTTGCGTAGTATCTTTGTAATTATTGAAATTAATCATTTAATTATCTGTTAGCCCCAAAAATATCTGTAAAAAGATGACAGTTCAAACACAAACTCTCTCGAATTCTAGTCAATAAATGTAAGAAAATAACATTAAAAAATAATAATATTTGTCAAACTAAGTATTTTTATATGAATATTTAATAATTAAAGCATGTATAGTTATGAAAATTAATTATTTAATTCTATTATACTCAAAAATAAGTGAGTAAAAAAACAAACATATAAAATAAAAAACAAACATATAAAATACTAAACAAATATATAAAATAATAAACTAACATATAAAATAATAAAGTAACATATAAAATAATAAACTAACATATAAAATGATAAACCAACATATAAAATAGTAAATTAACATATAAAATTTTAATATAGAAAAGGTATCAACCTAAGTAACAATATAGTAAAAATATTGAATAAATTTTAATATTAAAGATATTGCAATATATTTAAAGATGTTAAGCAATTAAGAAGAAAAATACTTTAATTAATATTGTTCAATTTACAGTTATCATCATGGAGGTTCTGTCTGTGCATCCCGGACCTGCATCGCTAGAGCTACTGTTGCTACAGGCCGACCATAGGTCTTCATACATATGGGATGGACAGTGTTTGTCCCAGACATTTCGCACCAGACGTATAGACGATATGTGGTAGTTCATTAGGGCCCACCCACTCCATCCCCGTATAGTTAGACGCCTTCAGGATACAGGTTTCTACAGGATCATAGAGATCGGCCGGTTGCAGTTCGACTGGGCGTTGATCACAATCATGATAGAGCGGTGGCGATCGGAGACGCACACATTTCATCTACCCATCGGCGAGGCGACCATCACGCTTGAGGACGTAGAGGTTTTTTTCGGGCTGCTGGTTGATGGGTTACATGTAGCTTACCCACATGCTTTCAGAGACTATAGGGGATTGCATTACCTGCATATCTTGCAACGGCTCACCGGATTCTAGCCAGCGGAGGAGACGACATTGAGTGGAGCCACTCGTTTGCAGCTGACGCCCGTCCGGCAGCAACTAGAGGCGATAAATGCGGAGATTACGGATGATTCACCGTCGGAGGTTATCGATCGGCATACGAGATTGGTGCTGTTGCTGATGTTTGGTGGTGTACTGTTCCCGAACACTTCGAAAAACCTAGTTAGCTTGAGATTTCTACATCATCTTGAGCGGCTAGATGATTTATCTGGTTACAACTGGGCTACAGTTATTCTAGGTTACCTGTATAGGCAGATGTGTCAGGCGTCCATGGGCACCTAGAGAGACGTTGCCGGATTTTTACCGTTGTTGCAGGTGAAAACATAGTCAATTCATTTCATGATTAAAACATACATAGGGTGAGAATACCTTAAATTTTACGTCCACAATCTATATTAGGTTTAGGCATGGGAGCGGTTCCTTCAGTTTCAGCCACCTCTACCACCCATCACTCCGGATGCACCACTTCCACCATTTCTCCCTTTAGCTTGGAGGTGTGTTGATAGGCGAGGTTACGGACGTGAGGTCGAGGCTCGACATGATCTCCCCTATTACAGGGATTTGTTGGATTTGCTTGAAGGCGCGCAGGTACATGTATTCTTAAGTGTACTTGGCCTGGCTTTATATGTGTTGCGTTTACTCACGATTTATGTGTTTGATTAATAGTTCTTATGGAGGCCATACATCGACGCACTCTTAGCTGGTTTGCCCGATTATTTCTCCCCGCGGCCGAGCTATGTGGAGCTCTTCTGTCCCACTGATATGCCTCGATATTGTCGAGCATCATGCCACCGAGCGAGTCCTTTTCCAGTTTGGTCGACCGCTACTTGTACATATTCCGACCGCTTGGCTTAGGACACATTACCAACAGGATGATCGTTCCAGGGTTGACCAGAAATACTTGGACTGGCTAGAGGCCCAGATTAAGTTTTGGAACCAGAGGTATAGCCTGATTCCTCCACACCCTGCACCTGAGCGTACAGATGGTGAGCATGAGTATATAGGCTGGTATCGCATCGTTACCCGACTTCATGTCGGGAATCCCGTTCATCGCGCTGGTGGTCGGTACATTCCATACACTGGGAGGCATGAGGCACTGGTATGTTATTTATTATACTTACTTATAACATTAAATTATTATTCCGTAATTAATATTTGACATGTTATGCAGGCTATTGGATTACATAAGTTCTACTAGTTAGGACTGCAGATGCTGCAACATACCGTTGAGGGAGCGATAACTTTGCACGAGTATGGCCGCCAGGTTACAGATCTGGTTGCCCAGACATTGAGGCATGTCCGAGATGATGAGCGATTAGGATACGAGACTGCTTATGTGCCGCCAGAGGAGTACCATCACGGGCCACCAGTGGAGCCTGAATATGGTAGACGTGGCAGGCGTATCGAGAGAGGAAGGGGTGTCCTATGAGGTTGTGGTGGTCGGCGAGGAGGGGGTCCCCCGCAAGGTGGCGTTGAGGCACCCATGGAGAATATTAGAGATGATCAGTCATGTGACCACCCTGAGCCACACGATGCTCCTCATGATATGCCGTCATTCAGCCTGCAGTTGTCTCCAGGGACTTCGCAGTTGACCCTGTCAGCTCTATTGTTGATCGCGGGCATGACCATTACGCAGCATGAGTGGGATCAGTATTTTCCTGATCGACTATGGCCATCGATGGTTGCTGAGGATCGTCCGATACGAGAGGTGAATAGTGGGCGACGACTGAGTTACGGCTCATCATCGGGGACTACTGAGGATGTTTCACATACTTCATCTACTCCAGTGCACCCCGATGTTCTGACATAGCAGTGTGTCGCTACTCAAGCGCATGTTTGTTTGTATTACTATTATTTCTATTTGTTTTTTGTTACACCGTGTGCGTTTCAAGGTGACATAATGAATATGATACTTGTTAATCATGATTTAAATGAGTTTAAAGTCATGATATGACTATATATGACGTTTGGATATAATATATAAAGTTTGGGAAAAATCAGATTTAAGTTGCGGAAAAAGAACCGACTAAGGATTTTCCTTGTAACATAGCTCTTTGAGAAATAAATTTATTATATTATATGAGGTATTTTTTGGACATATTATATATCAAATTTAAGGTCTATGAGTCTAGTTTCCAACTCATTAAACCGTTCATTGATACGACATCGGAGTAGTGAGATATCTATAATTTTGTGAGACTGCGCAAGCAGTTCTGTTGGGACCCCCTTGAGATGACCTTCGACCTTACGTTTTTTTTAAAGGTGTTTCAGACTCATTGCGGGTCATTTTTCACCCAAACTTCATCTAACAGCTCTCCAAAACCCTCCCTTATATATATCAAGATCTCAAGAACCAAACTCAGGGGAAATCAGCTCAAATCATCATCAAAGGTGTTAAGGACTACAAGAGGATGCTTCTATGATGTTGTGGTGTGATTGAGGGCTATTGTGAGCTAAGTTGAGACATGATTTTGAGTTGTAGCTGATGTCCAAGGTATGTATAATATCTTCTTGATTGTGCCTAAGGTTAATCTTGTGTTGGTTGTATTGTTTGAGTGAGAAACCATAAAATAGTACTTGAAAGAACATGGGATGTAGTTGTCTTTGGTTGGACTGTTTTGTGGCTAATTAGATGGTTTGTGGTGGCTGAAAATTATGAAAAATAATTTGATAATGTTGTGGCTGCTGTTGTTAATCTTTTTTATTTGTTAATTAAATTTATTGAAGAAGAAAAGATGAAAAACAAGTGATTGACAATAAAAATTAAGGTATTGGACGTATGAGGCTGTTTTGGAAGGCATTTTGTGGATGTTTTGAACTAGAAATAATATAGTACATATAAGTATGATGTTCTGAAGGTTATAAACTAATTTATGGAAAAATATTTGGATTCAATTTATATTTTGTTGTGAGTAAAAACGAGTTTGCCGCTCAATTTGGTTGTTAAGATAATCAGAGAAACTCATATTGGATTATATTATTGTTATTGCTATTGTTGGTTATAGTTGTTGTTGGGTTGTTGATGACCCTTAGTGGTCTTTGGATGTATTAAAAATAGGGGAGTTTCTGTCCGATTTTTCTTAAGCCATACGACTAGCCAAATACGATGGTATGGCATTATATGTTAACGGCAATATCATTTCACTTGTTGTAGATGAAAGAAGTTGTGTTGAGCTTGGTTGAGTAACAAGGAAGAGATCATACTGGTATGTTAAATCTATCCCTTCTTTCTTTTGGCATGATCCAAATGATACAAACGAAATGAGCAAAATACGCAATTTTTATAAATGACTCTATTCATAGAAATACTAGGGGTGTCTATATTCTTGATTCCCAATGTGAATTATTATTATATCTTCTATTCATGAGTCTCAGAAAAATACGTATTTGATAAAGTTTGTCCGAAAGGCATATTGATTTTATGATATTCGAGAAATCTTATTAACGTATTTCGTATGCATTTCATGCATTTATACATGTACATTGACCCATGACCAGAAGGCGTTATATACGTGTATATTATATGTATATGGGATATGGGAAAAGGTTACGACGTTATATACATACCACCACCTTATCAGCTGGTATACGTTGATGATTTTGCCCATAGTGGCTGAGATGATATGATGGGATGCCCTCAGAGGCTTGATGATGTTATGTACGCATATACCTATACATGGTATGATTTTTATACGCACATGCATGAAATTATAAATTTTCATGATTCACAAAGCTATTCAGAATTACAGGTTGAGTTATTTACCCCATGTTTCTTTCATGTCTTTTATATACTGTTGTCATGCCTTACATACTCAGTACTTTATTTGTACTGACGTTCCTTTTGCATGGGGACGTTGCGTTTCATGCCCGCAGGTCCCGATAGACAGGTTGAGATTTCTCCCAGTAGGCTATCAGCTTAGCAGAATGTGTTTGTTCACTTCACTTGCTCCGGAGTTGCCTATTTGCTCAGTATGATTTGAATATATATTGATTGGTATGGTGGGGCTCTGTCCCGAACTTTATAATATTTATGTACTCTTAGAGGCTTGTAGACATATGTCATATATACGGATACTGAAATGGCATTATAGGCCAGTACGTCATATGTATAAGTCGGTATATCAAGTTGAGTCACCCTATATTGAGTATTTCCTCATTTTTCATTCTACTTATCTCACGACAACCTCTCCAGCTCATTTACCTATGATAGTATGATACGAAAGATACGTTATGTTGGTATTCAGTTGAGTAAGGTACCAGGTGCTTGTCGCGGCCCATCGGTTTGGGTCGTGACATTTTTATCTCATTGATTAGTCATCAGTATCTAAAGCATTTTTATTTTTTTTAAAGACATCATCATTGCCCTTAACGGAGGCCACTTTATGCAATACTAACATGCCAGAGACGGATGATTTTATTCAGGAGCCCGCCGAGACCATGGTATGACCATTACATTTTTTTTGCTAACATGTACGTTAGTAATTTATATTTCATATACTAAAATATCTTATTATTCTGTAAGTTATTGTTGGACCGACGACCGCTTCTACCGAGTCTGCCAGCCTTACCAATGATCATGTTGCAGCGCATCCTCCGATAAAGAGGCAACGTGATGAGAATGATCTTGATAGCGTAGCCGGGAGGGATGGGATGCGCCTCAGGCCAGTCAATGCTTTAAATCATACAGGTTGTGGGACACATTGACATTTATTATTATATGTATATATGAAATTAAATATATAATAGCAACATTATTTATGTTTTACATAATTTGCGCATGTATTTTTATTTCTCGGGTTATTTATTAGTTTAATACTACAACAAAAAAAAACGATAACTTAACATAATTTAAATTTGGTACAATTAATGATAATACATGACACGTAAAATATAAAGATAAAATACTATACTCAACACATCCATGTGTTTGTTTAGTTACTATCTCCCATTATTCTGTACTTCAACCACTTAAATTTCTCGTCCAACTTATTTTTTCTTTTTCTGCCTCTTTTAGTTTCTCATTCACTGCCGCAAGTTGTTGTTATAGTTTAAAGATCTGGAGTTCGTATTCACCGGTCATATTTCAAACATAGTGCAAACATGATTTGTAGTATTCATGGTTAATTGGTTCATCATATCATTCTTGAAATCCACATTGATTTGCGTCCTACTAATGAGGATTATAACATAACACTATTAATTAACATGTTATATAAAAAATATTAACAAATATTTTTTCCAAAATAATAACTTACAAGTTGTTGACAGATCCAGCGTTTGCG